TATTATCATCAACTTTATCCAGTTAGTTTTTATAGTGTAACGTTTATCTATTTAAAAGTAATTTATGTAAGCTATTTTATTTAGTTGCCTTATTGTGGAAAGTTGGTCACTTAATTTGTGTTTCCTGTCATAAGCTGTGTATCTGTGTGGCAGTTATATTAATTAGTTATATTGTTAATAGGAAGGGGGGGGGCTATGAACTCCGCCGATGGAGTTGTTTGTCAAGCGTTGGTGGAAATAAGGCTGTTAAGTCAGTTCCCTCTTCTCAACTAATGTTAGAGAGAGATTTCCCCACACGGCTCACACACAAATGACGTGACTTGCGAGAGCCAGCACACCATAGTTAGATATTGTAGTTCTTACAATTCTTATGGTTATGAAATCGTGACATTATCAAACCGCGGTTATTGTAGAACCGGTTAATCCCAACATCCCTAGTTGTGAGTCGTAGCTGGAAAAACAGATATATACGACATACGACCAGCTAACTATTTTATTGTTACTAGTTAAATCATAGTATGTTTTCACAGTCACTTTAAGACAATATAGTTAACAAGTTTGCATTGTTATTGACTGATAAGCTACGACGCCAGGACGATGTGGTGGGCGGGGCAGTACGAGATCTTGCAGCTGATTGGCTTGCTGCTCTGAATAAATAGACCCAAGATGGTGTCGCTGAGTTGCAAGGGGACACTCATCTTCCAGTAGACGGCAGTAGTGCATTACTAATGGACTCAAATACACTGCTAAAGGCTGTTTTTCAAATTGTTTATGGTTTTTTTCATATTACTTATGAATATAGTTACATGTTTATATTACATTATATTAGCATGGAAATAGCAGTGAAGCTACACCTTCCTGACATGTTTTTTTTAAATATCATCTCATTGAATCTAACACAGGGTTTACATTGTGTACACAATGAGTACATATATAATACAGAATATGTAACAGTGGTCAAAGAAGAGTGGTATGGGAGGAATGAATGAATCTCACCTCTTTGGCTTCCATGACAGTTCCTACACCCACAGTGAGAGCCATAGTGGGAACCTTGGACAGGTCGTTACCAAAGAAACGAGCGTTGGCCACAATGGTGTCCTTAGCCAGGGTTTTCACTCTGGTCCTGGAAACCAGGCTGGAGCCCGGCTCATTGAACGCAATGTGACCATCAGGGCCAATACCTACAGAAACACAGCGAGAAGAGATTACCCAAGGGATTAAATCACCCCTAGGGTTATCTAGGCTCTGATGAGTTACAACAGATTAAACATGTCTGACCTCCAACAAACAACTGGATTCCTCCGGCCTTTGCGATCTTCTGCTCAAAGGCCTGACACTCTGCCTCCAGGTCGTCTACGTTTCCATCCAGGATGTGAGCGTTGGCTGGATCGATGTCGATGTGCTTGAAGAAGTTGTTCCACATGTAGGAGTGGTAACTCTCTGGATGAGCTCTCGGGAGACCTGGAGGACGAGAGGGTCACCGCGTAAGCCTAAGAGCTAAGAGGCCAAATAACAGCCTGCTTCAAAACCATGGGACCACAATTGATCTGAGGTTTAAAACAAAACATAGTCCAGAGCTAACCCATGTGAACAGACCGGGACATGCCATTTGATGTGCTGCACAGCTCAACACAAGGTCTGACGTGAGGACGTGAGCCATCGACTCTGCTCAGATCTAATGCCACAGCGTGTTCTCACAAATATTTCAGAGCTGCTCACTAATGTAAGGATCAGCTGTGGACATATGAGATGAATCAATCAGCCTTTAACTCACCTACATATTCATCCATGTTGAAGGTTTTCACATATTTGAATGAAATATCTCCATTTCTGTAGTATTCAATCAACTTCTGGTAGCAGCCATAAGGAGTGCTCCCTGAAAGACATCAGACACTTCAATGCACTCCACTTCGTTGTAGTAAACCTGCAGAGATACTTCACCCTTGAGAACCCTGGGGAACATCAGTGTCTGTGCGGACGGTGCCCACCTGTAGGCAGCCCCAGAGTGAAGCATCTGTCGGCGGACGGCTGGAACTGGATGATCCTGTTGCGGATGTATTTGGCTGCCCACTCACTGGACAGATCGTAGTCGTCCAGAATGACCAGCCTCATTGTGTCACCTTTCTAAAAGAATGACAACAATGGAATGAATGATAAATGACAGCCTGGCTGGGCAATAATACACCATCGGTAGTTGTGGCTGTAGAACATTTGTCAGCTTTGGGCCTGACTCAGTTGAAAACTGTCTCACCGTGGGTTTACAGGAGGGATTAAAACATACAGACTAAACTAGACATCAAATGCTCTAAAAATATAAAACAACAGACACCAGAGAGAAGACAAATCAAGAAACTAATGAGGGTCAACATAACAATCGTTTCATTCACATCAATATATTGCTTTTACATTCTGTAAAGTTAGGATGTGCAACACAGTATTTATCCACCTCAGATTTAGAAAAGGTTTTGCAGTTTATCATTCTCTGCTCTGCTGGAGAGTTTAAAACCACAACCTGTGGTCGTCTCTAAACGTAAACGAGAGAATAACGGGACGTGTCTTACAATGATCGATCTCGACTGATATGAACATTTAATCTCGGTATGATTTCTGGCCGTGAGTACCACGCCAAACTCCGTTAAAGAAAGGGCCAACTGGATGTGTGTGTGCTCGCCGATTTTCCAAGATGTTACCGGACGAAACGTGAGAACGACTCCCACAAACAGGACTCCGTAAACTGTCGGATGTTTCCATGGAGTTTGTTGCAGAGGTGGCTAACGTTAGCAAGAAGGTCGTTGTAAGGTCCATTTAGTGGCACGCGTCACGGATCTGAGGCGAAACAACGAGTTAACACGAAGCAAACGATTCAACAACAAGTTTTTACCTTCGGTCAGGGGAGCGAGTCAGGTGACGTAACACGCCTGCTGTGTCACATGACTGCTTTCTGTCACATGATCCACTACCGGTCAGGTGATTTTGCTAAAATACATTTAAAAAAAACCACAATCATTATTATTGTTGTTCTATTTGATGTTACTCGTGAATTGCGCAGTATAATAAGAACTTACTTGATTCTTGTTCCCTCATGGTTGATGCACTTATTGTAAGTCACTTTGGATAAAAGTGTCAGCTAAATGAAATGTGATCCGGACACAAATAAAGTACAAATAAATAGAAAATGTACTCAAGCAAAAGTGAAAGTATTGCATAAACTGTTTAACTGTGCTTGCAGTCTATTTTGTTTATTAGAATAGTGCAAACTGGAACGCTGCAGATGATACAGCTGCAAACCGTGTTAATAAAGCATGCCGACTGGATCACGTCATTAATCCCACCCAAACCATGACTACTTCTGAACAATGTGTAACATGTAACACAATGCAAATGTAGTTGAGTAGCGATTACAGATATTTGCCAATACATGGGGTGGAGTAAAAGTGATAAGTCAAGTACTTTATAATAGTAAGAAAGTAAAGGTACTGTGTTACACCCACCACTGTTAAAGACTAACACATTAACACCAGTAGATAAAAGAAATATATTTCATGTGTTTCATGATCAGCTGGATGCCTACATTACATCCCTGTGGTGCATCAGTGACTTTTTGGATTTTGATAATGGACAAATAACCAACGTAAGTAAATAAACAGCTCATGAATCAAAGCACTGACCCACACAGGCCACTTAAGAGGTATTTAAGAGATCGACTGTGGCAGTCAACAGAATGCCACTGAACAGTAACTTGTCTCATCTCCAAGTACCATCATACAGACCATCCCTCATGTGAACATAAAGAAAAATCAGTGACCACAGCAAAGATCAGTGTCTTTTCACAAACACTCCATGAATTAAAGTAACTGAGTACATTTACTTAATCACCTGAGTTAAGTGAACAGTGCTTGTTCTAATTATTTTCTATACACCTGTTTGTAATTCAACCGCAGACTTTAAGGCAAATGTTTTACTTTATGCTGCACTATGATGTGAAAACCAATTACACTAACATTTTATTCATAAAACACATATGTTTAAATAATGTATTCATTATTTTTTTATGACATATTTATGTGATCTTAGTTAATATATTTGAACTCTGCTATAATCAACAAATGGACTATATTTACGTAGAACTAATCTAGTCATATCATCCACTCAAAGCAACCATTACTATATACTTAAAACTTGCTGATGACAGTGAATCATTTTAAGATTGGGTGGTGGGTATTCAAAGTGTGCCGTAAACCTGCAGAATTATCAGCATATCGTTACCCTGTTTGTCATTTCTACTCTGTGACCAAGAATAATTCTGAGCTCTCCCGGTGACCAGCAAATCCATAGAAGCCAAAACACACAAGACAAGCAAAGCTGGGTTTTAAATTTAATCTTGTAACATTCTCCTTTATCAGGGAAGTCATACAATAAAATGCTTAAAAGATCACAATGTTTTAAGAACGGTTGGTGTGTATCTGAGATGTGGAGTAGAACAGTCAGAAGGGTGGAGGAGTGAGGTAAAACTATATTCTTCTCTGCAGCTGAACATCAATGGTTATGGTCCCAGGGGGTTCACTGGAGACAGAGGGCTGTGTGCACCAGGCAGCAGTCTGTTCAAATGGTCCGTCTATTCTTTCTTCTTGTAGTCCTCCAGGTGGGCCAGGATCCACCCAGATGGTCCCAGGATGGCCAAGGAGAACATTCCCAGCGCAATAACAGTTTCCTAGGGAACAGACAGAGAATATCCAGTCAGCTAAACATGAACTCTGCTATATAAAAACAACACCTGTGCTTCACACTCCTCACCCAAGTTGATCGGTAGCAACAGATCATCTGAATTTATCAAATGGGGTTTGAGATAAAATAATGTGGTCTCATGAGATACAATTTTCAATTTATGTGCATGATGAGAAAAGAAAGCGAATCCCACAGTCTAACAACATCGCTGATGTTTTGTATCTGTGTCAGGCCCTCGAGCTCTTCAGCAAGTGGAGAGAAGCCTCCTACCATCCATCAAAAAGACCAAAATGAAGAGGCGAAGTCAAACGGAGAAAGGTTTCAAAAATAATACAGTTTAGCCGTGACCATACAAAACAAACAGCCTATAAATACCTATTTTTAATACATTGACTATCTCTCCTATCTGCATTACTCTACAAGGTATATGATATCTTATATGGAAGTTTTTGTAGTATTAAGAGGGACTCACAGTATTTACAGTTAAAGATGAAAAAAATGAGTAACATCCCTATTGTTATATTTCTAACTTTGTATAGATGAGATTTTTCTTTATTTCTGTCTTTGTACAGCAGTCTTAGGTGCAATGTCAATCCAAATGACTGTTCCTACTACTACTGTGTCACCTTATTCTCATTGTCCTCTGTGCTGCCACTGGCTCAGATGAAAGCCTCTAAAGGGAACTCCACATTCACACTGAACCCCTCAGTCCCTTGTCAGGTCTGATGAAGGGTGTAAACTACAGTAAATGTGTTTGAGGCAACAAAGTGTAACGTGGGTACTTCTTTCTCAATGTCACTGTACAGATCCTGCTGATACAACCATCGTCTACTCTTTAGGGTTCCATTTTGATGAGCCTGGACAAACCAACCTCTGATGCTAGCTTACACAGGACGGCTGGATGAATAGAATGTCTTAGACTTAGTTGATGAGTGAAATCAGAGTGTAAGGGTGAGAGTTACATGCTGACAGAGAAGTGTCTCATGTCTAAGTGGGGTCCTGTGGTAAGAGCCTGGGCCTGGCGGCAGTGACGCTGGGGAACTCTCGACTGACTTGAGTGTGTACGAAAACAAGAATTGCATAAACAACCGTTAGCACAAAGCTAACAGCCGAGGCGGCTAGCTGCGTTAGCACGGGGCTCACTAATGAAAGAAGAGGACAACGCCGAGCAGCCGCTGAAAATACGTCCCGCATGTCCGCTCATTTGAAACCCGTCACTTTGGTTAAATACAAGCGTTAACTTAAAAAAAAATAAAACACGCGCTCAGCACTGCCTGTCGACTTTGACCTCGTCAGCCAAGGACGGCTAAAGCTGCTAGCTCGGTTAGCATGAAGCCAAGGTGGGTGAGACACTCACGAGTGCGCCGATCTTCTCCTTGGCCGGTTTCGTGAAGATGTTCGCCCGCTGAGCGACGGCATGTGACCGCAGGGCCGGGGCAGCGCGGCAGGCGAGAGTCCTCAGGAGGCCCGACATGTTTGTTTGGAGCGATGGGGTCTTCTCTTCTGAAGGAGCCGGGATGGAGTTCAGAGGAAGTGCTTCACGCGTCTCCACTTTCCAATGCTGTCCAGCGAGCTCCACACTGCCGCCTACTGTCCTGGAAGTTCGATTACACGCAACACTCCAGCATTATGGAAGACCACCAGCGTCTAAGAAATAAAACATTTCATGAATGATGATAAAAATATGCCTTCATATATGTGTTTACAAATGAATCCATCATTGTGTAAATACATACACTCAATTACAAACTAATTCTTGAAATTATATTTTAATCGGCAATACAGAGAGAACTGAAATATGAAATATTAACAAAAGTATTTGAAATTGCATTAATCAAATCATAATTATTGGAATGCTATTTAAATATCTATTTAAAAAATACAGTTCAAAAGATGAAATTGATTACTAGATTCACAAACTGAATTTGGAACGAATATTTGAATTAGGAAGTTAATAGAGATGTTTTCTTGTAAGAAGGATTACACAAAAACTACTGGACAGATTACCCAAAAACTTGGTGGATGATTGTGGTTTGGGTCAGGTACAGACCCATACAACTTTGGTGCAGCAGTGGGCAGATCAAGGAATGGCAAGAGCATTTATCCACATTTTCATTGATTTCTTAGAGAGCAACCCATGGAACATGATGACAAGATTCAGGTATGATTAGGGCACTGGTATTTTTTGACCAATCGAAATAAAAATCCAGATCTAGTGAATTTAAATGTGGTTTAGTGAGGGGCCTGTTGGACCTTGGCACAGTTATATGCTCTCTAGGTGCCCCTCTAGTCGTCACATATTTCATATATGTCCATCCAATGTGTGTGTGTTATCTTAAGACCCTTTGCATTAGTATATTTCTATTAGGCAACCTAATCTTACACAGTGAATTAAGACCTTATTTGGGCCTTTTCCAGCTGCTTATCCAGAGTTGGTGTTGCCCACAGTGTAACCACAGTGAAGTGAATAGTCTTCAGGCATTAACGCAACTCCAGTTCAGTTTTGTAATGTCACTCACTGGCCAGAGCACAACAGCTCCACGTGAGCGGTAATCCTGTCTTGTGCAGCCCTGTTGTTCACGTTACTTACACACAGCCTCCTGCTATTTGGGGACACAGGAGCAATGGTATGTAATAATCCCCTTCACGTTCACCCCCCACCCCTACCACTCCACAAGTCCCTACCAACTTTAGACAGAAACAGCATTTTGTCATACTGGCTCTCTCTATCTCTTTTGTTCCGATTTTTTTTTATCACCGTGTTTAATTTCACCCCAAGACCGTCTGTGGGAAGACTGCCCATATCAACGAAGTGAATTTTTTTTTCTAACAACTAAGAAAATGGGGATTAACTCTGGAGTTAACATTTCAGATGATGTTGCACTTTATGGGGGAAAAAGTGCCTTTACTCAAATAGAGCACAACATTGTGGCTGGATATCTTATTACTGCAGGTAACAGGTGGCATTTTAAACGTATTTCATTGTGACAAAAGATGTGAGTATTGTGTTGTTTTAGTGTAATTTTGCCTTCTATTTTTCTGTAGAACCAAAGAATGTAACTCTCTTATGTAAGGGGCATTCCTGGGGCGTCATTGTTTTAACATGAAGTACATTTAACACAGCTCATAAGCTTCAAACTATCAGGAAATTCAGAAATTGTGAGGAAAGTTTGGTTGTTTTACAATTGCAGACAATTCATCTCTATCGATGAGCAATGAACACAGCAATGAGTTTATGTGATCTCCTCGAAACTCACTGCTGCTTTCCCCAGCAGTGTGAAAAAAAAAGGACAATCACATCATGTGGTTATCGAACTAGAACATCAGGGAAAGATGGTGGCTTTGGTTATATTTAGAATGAAGTAAACATTTCTGGTTTTTCTTTTCTTTTCATTATTGTTTTGTTTTTACCTAACATAGTCTTTTGAGTTACTCACACCATAAAACCATTATTAGTGAGAAAAACTAACTAAATATATTGACAGAGAACATGTAGAGTAATGTTAATTGTTGTTGTGTTTACCATGTTCACATGTCCATTTAAATGCCCCCCATTGTGGTTTTTACAACCTAGTCTTGTCTCTTTTCTGAATGATATACGGTATTTCAATCTTTATTGAATGTTTTGTCAATATGTTGTAATTTTAATGTTATAGGGGTTTTCTTCAGAAACTTATAATAACTGTTGGTTGAAAAAAGGTTGATATTCCAACATATGTTAGGTCTTCTGTAAAGAGGTCCATATTGATATGCTCAATATTTATTGCTTTTCCAGTTTAGGAGGTTTCTTGGCATTACTGAAGCAAGGAGAACTACTTTTACAATGTGATTTGTCAGCATAACAAGTCGCCTCACAAGCTGTGTGATGGAGAGAAGGGTTACATTGTTTTTTTCCCCCTTCCCTGATCATGTTTTTACCTTGTTTCCATCTGTATCCTCCCTGACTTCAGAGTTTCTGTAAGCCTGATTTATGCACATTAAAATATAAGCATTAAGTTCATCATGTAACCTATATTTTAATAATCAACACGACTATGTTTAAGAACCTCAATAATCATTCTCAAACAGTCACACACAGAACACAGAAGAAGTTCATGTTCGTTCTACATTAGACTGAGAATGGTCGACTTTAGAGCAGCTCAAAACATTTAATTGTTTTTTTTTGTCCTCAGCCGCTGAAAAAAAATAGGATATGTCCCATGTGCTGTTGAAATGACGTGACAAATGTTTTTTTGTCCATTTTAAGTAAACTGCATAATGTTCTGGGTTTTTTTCGATTTAAAACAAGATATTGATAAGTAAATATAGATGATGTGTAAAGATGGAGTTGTTATTTATGTAAATGGTCAAAATGGTCTGTATGAATATAACACTTTTCTAGTCTTGATGACCACTCAAAGCACTATACAGTAAAAATGTTTATATATATATATATATATTTAAAACTATATAATACAATAATATATATAACCTAAAAAGAAAGAAACGTTATACTGAGTCAATTTATATAAGATAATCATGTAATTGCAAGTTCATATAGGATCTCCTGTTCTCCACATCTTCTCTCCTCTCCGCAGGAGTCATCAGTTTAACAAGCAACATCGTGGTGCTGCTCATGTTTGTGAAGTTCAGGGAGCTCCGCACGGCCACCAACTTCATTATAATCAACCTGGCTTTTACTGACATTGGAGTGGCTGGTATCGGCTATCCCATGTCAGCTGCCTCAGACATCCACGGCAGCTGGAAATTCGGCTACACCGGTTGTCAGGTGGGTGGGATACTAATGTTCAACTGTAATTTTGCACAACATCTATAACACATCTGAGGGATATGTGCAATGTATGATATTGGGCTGTATAAATGAAACGTACTCATTTCAATACTAAAACAATCTACATTAAGATGTCTTGTAAATCGCAGCAAATATATTATTGAAATTAAGGACTCAGTTGTTGGTGAATTGTTTTATTTATTTTTTCTTCTGTTTGACAATGATCCCAGAAAATCATCTACTCAAAGGTCAGTTCTCAGAAAGAGCTATCATGCCTGGAAGTAAAGCAAACTTTAATTTTATGACACCTTTCACAGACAGTAGTCACAAAGTGCTTCAACATGGGGGTGATGGAATCAAAAAGAGTTGCATTATAAAACAGAACAAAACACACTAGGCACTAGAAAACATATATAAAATGACATGTTATCTAAATGCTTGTCTGAATAGATGGTTTTAAGCTGCTTTTTTAAAGGCTCTACAGAGTCTCTGTTCTTCCAAAGCTTAGAGGCAACTGACTGGAAATCATGGTCCCTCCAAATCTTAAGGCATGTTTGAGGTACACTAAGAAATCCTGGGAAAAGGATCTAAGTGCTCAGCTGGTGGAGGGGGAGTCAGGAGGTACATGATGTAATGCGGAGCCTGGCAATATAGGGCTCTACAAGTGAGCATCAAAATTAACACTAAAATGAAAATGAAGAGGAAGCCAGTAGTGAGAAGTTAAAATATGTGTAATATGTAGTCTGTTGGGTGGTTTTAATGGGCCTGGCAGCAACTGATCACTGCACTGCTTGGGTAATAAAAACCGGTTTACTTTGAAAACATGTCACCAGGATTCCATGAATCAATTCTTCTGCTGTTAAGTTGCTGTTGACATAAAAACACCCAACTTAACTCCACCACCATCACTACTGCGTACTCTGGATCTAAGATGGCAGAACCTGAATCCAAGATATTTTGGCCTCATTTTTGTGCATTAGGAGAAAGTCCATCTTTATTTACACTCTATGGTATAAACCAGTGGGGTTGGACTTGGCGTCCTGCTGTTTTTACCATCAGTAAAATGTTTGCTGTTATTTTTCGAGGAGAATGAATTGAATTCATAATTAAATGTCAATCATCAATAAAATTTTTGACGGATAAATAGGCCTTCTCTCGGTTGAATCAGTATAGCCTGTATACTAATGACAAACCCTCCGTGTCTACGCTAGCGAGGAGCTGTCCCTGCCCTCCTGGGACATCTGTGCTATAGCAGTCGGTATCCTGTGCTGCAGGCCTCGCAGCTAACAGCTAACCTCAAAGCATGTGCAAATGTTATTACTGAGTAAAAACCAGTAGATAAGCTGTTCACAATCCTGAGGATCTGAAAAATGTGATTATGTTTGTCCAAGTGTTAACCTGTTATGGGTCACAAAACCATTCCATGTACCACTGTGACCTTGGTGAATACATGGTGCTTTTGTATTTAAAATGTATTTGCTCTGTTAATTAGTTTATACATGAAAATCTGGCAACCTTCACACTACTGAGCATTCAAACTCAGTAGTGCTTTTTTCTTTTTCTTTAGTTTTACTCCAATCACAGCGGCTGTGTGTGAGATGATGTGAGAATCCTCTTGTTCTATGGTTTATGCTATACCATTAGCATCTTGTTATAAAAAAACTAGTTGCTATGACTTATTCTGAGCTGCCCATGAGACTAAACCTGTGAGCAGACTGACGCACATTCACACAGGCCACGTGTTTGAGTTATTTCAGCAGATTATGGGTTTTTTCAGACCTTGTTTTTTCCACAGTGATGTTGACCCATGTGATGATAATCTACAGTGAGAGAGAGCGGGCCCAGAGCCAAACAATTCACCTGGACAGTGTTGGCTTTCCTGCACACCACATAACAGAGTAATAGAATTATTACTCACATCCAGTTCAGCATAATACCATTAAGAAGTGTGGCTTGTTGTGGCAAGATGTGGAAATGATGGAAGTGATCCATGGTCTGTTGGATGCAGAGAGATGGAGCACATCAATGAAAGCACCCACAAACTTATATAGCGTTAAACATTCTCTACACAAAAGTTCACTTAGACTACACTGAGTGACTGACTGTCACCATGTCCCTCTCTCAGGATCCAGTAGTGTGTACACTCGCTGTTAAGATCACTCATTACTTTAAATCTATGTATACAAACCTGTATAGTCGACTCAACCCGGCTGATATCGGCTGATGTAAAGACGCCAATCTGTAGCCTGTGTAACAAAGTCTAAGTAGCGAGTAGTTGTTGGCCTGTTAGCTTGCTGCTGCTCAAGGTCTTTGGAGAGGCTTCCTTTACTTTACCGCTCTTCTTTTTTGGCTGTCATGACAACATATATGTGAGTTGGTAGATTGCTGGTTATTTATGTGGGGTTTTGAGTTTTTGTCTATAACTTTATTTTGGCAGCCGTGGTTGAGGGGTAGAGTGGTCGTCCTTCAACCAGAGGGTCGGCACAAAAATTGTCAAACAGTTGCAAACTTAAAGGTAACATCAAAGCAGACCATTATCATGAACTGTCTGGTTTTAACTTCTGTGTTTCCGTCTCCAGATCTATGCAGCTCTTAACATCTTCTTTGGCATGGCCAGTATTGGCCTGTTGACTGTGGTGGCCGTCGACCGCTATCTCACCATCTGCAGACCAGACATAGGTATCCACTGACTGCTCCTCTGTGACACACTGTTCACAGTTAGTTAAGTACACTCAGCTAAAACAACGTACAGACTAATACAAGAACAGTCAGGTTTTGTTGAACCAGTTTTAGAGATTCCATTTCAAATGGCTGCAATTTGTCGTGCTGTTGATCTGTGAAATAATTCATGTACATGTCCATGTTCCAAATGCAAAATTGTGGGTTAAATGTTTGGTCAATCCAAGTGTCTTGTGAGCTTACACACAAACCCGCAACACAAATGTTTAGGTGATTTGATAATGGGTTGTCCCTAAGTCCATCCCATTCAATTGAAAACAATATCTCAAGAACGCCTTGAGGAGATTTTTCCAAATGTAGTGCAAATGTTAGCTGAACTGTAAGCATGAACTGATTTGATTTTAGTAGTCATCGGCCATGTTGCTGTGACCTCACAAAACACATTTATTGCCTTGTGAATGCAATATCTTGGGGACAGTTTTAGAGAATCCTTTTAAATTTGGCACAAAAGTTCACTTTGACTCAGATGAATGAATTAGATGTGGTTCGTCAAAGGTCAAGATCAAAGGGGCCAACAGAACATGTTTTTGCCCTTTTGAACCTGATATCTCAAGTCTCCCTGTAAGGAGTTTTTTCAAGTTTAGACCAGTTGTCAGAGATGAACTGATCAGATTACAGTGGTGAAAGGTCAAGGTGGCCTCATGAGTGTGTAAAAAATTATAAAACTGCACTGGTTGGTAGAAGCATACAACCACAGGGTGTTAATTCTGTTAAAACTAATCTGTTACTGTTTAGAGAAATAGACTTTCTTATTTCCACCAATTGTTAAACATGACAAATTCAAAAATGTTTGCAGCTGCAAAAGAAATTCAATCTTTTACAATTATATTGACTTTGCTGATCTGTATGGTTTCTCTCTCCAGGGCAGAAAATGACGATGCGATCATACAACCTTCTCATTCTGGCAGCATGGCTGAATGCTGTGTTCTGGTCCTCCATGCCCATAGTGGGATGGGCTGGATATGCCCCTGACCCCACTGGAGCTACATGCACCATCAACTGGAGACAGAATGATGCGTGAGTCATGTAGTGCACATTTGAACACGGCTATAGCATGTCGCTTTAAAAATATGCGAAGATAATAATCTATAATAATGGTAATGATAATAATGGTAAGAAATACTATTGCTACTACTGTGTACTATCTGTTGCCTCTCAGCTCTCAAAAGTTTAATGTATATTCACATTAATTTTTATACATAAATGAAAACTGACATTATGGAGTTGCCATACTAATCATCCAATGCAGATAACCAAAACAGAGAAAAGCTACTAAACAAATTCGAGGTCTGTGTGCAATGTCATTTGAGGATGTCATGACTGGCTCAAATCCATGACAAAAAGACAATTGGTGACGCAAAAAGTTGGCATGGTCAAATTAATAGTTTATTAAACAGCTAACAAAAACAACTTATTGTGCATAAAGTTATGAAGTGTGTCTGTCAGCAGCATCCAAGAGGGTGGGGCGTCACTAGGAAAATCACAGTTACCTTCTTTATAGTACAGGAGACAGGGACAAAATGATTGACAGTAAGTTTACTCACATCATACATCAATACATCTAATTCTGGAAGTCTCTCTCTGTCTGTCTGTAGAAGGCATATTCGAGAACCGTTCTCCTTATCTGCTTGCTACTTGGTAAGTGTATTGTTAAGGGCCCAAGAAAGTGCAGTACGGAATTTGGTGTGATTTGGACACATGATATATGATATTCCCCAGAACCTGAGTGTCTTCATTCAGTGGTTCAGACTGCAACTTAACCACAGTGTGTTTAACTGGTGTTTCCCACGATGAGCAGCAGTAGGTCCCATTTTGACAAATCTCCATGTACCCCAGATGCAGTGTCACTGAATGCTCAAGGGAACAACATCATCTTAGTCAGATACTGACTCTGCTTTTCCTCCACAGCTCCTTCATCTCCTACACTATGGCAGTGATCGTCGTGAACTTTGTGTTGCCTCTGTCTGTCATGTTTTACTGCTACTACAACGTGTCAGCCACTGTGCAGAGATACAAAGCTGGCAACTGCCTGGACAGCATCAACATCGACTGGTCGGATCAGATGGATGTCACCAAGGTGAAAACGCATGAGCTCGCTCTTTTTTCTACTCTGCGGTCACTGAGATAGCGTTTGCCTCAGCAGCTTCAGTGTAGGCCATCATTTTAGTGGCTGGACAAAGTCAAAACAGCCAATTACTCAATGAGTGTTTTCCCTGTGTGTATCACCAGAAAATGAGTGTTTTGCCTCTGGAGCACATTTTGACAATGGCAGAGATGTGACTTAAAAACTCTGTCTGATTTATCCAGTGCCATGCACTGAACACATTATGGTCACATTTTTGTGCTCGTCCAGCTCATATGCACCTGGAGTCAGGTTGGCTGGTTTGTTAACGTGCCCTTCTAAATGTCTATCCCCTATACTTATCTCAGCCCCTCTGCTTTATTCTACATACACGTATGCAGGTGTATTACATGAAAGCTTAGTTAGCGTGTTTGTGCCCTGCAGATGTCCATAGTGATGATTGTCATGTTCCTGGTGGCCTGGTCTCCCTACTCCATCGTGTGCCTCTGGGCATCATTTGGTGACCCCAAGACCATACCTGCCGCGATGGCCATCATCGCTCCACTGTTTGCCAAATCCTCCACTTTTTACAACCCCTGCATTTATGTCATTGCCAACAAAAAGTAAGTGTTTTTCTAAGTAAGTGTTGTTTGAAGTAGAGATGGGGTACGTGTTGTTATAATATTTTAGTGGTTGGTGCATTAAAGTACATAAAAAGGTGCTTTCTTTCAGGTTCAGAAGAGCCATAATAGGGATGGTCCGATGTCAAACCAGGCAGCGAGTCACCATCAATACCCAGGTTCCCATGACAACCTCCCAACAACCTCTGACCCAGTGAGGTGACATTGCCTCAGTATGACTCTGTAATAATATACCCTGACATTGAATCACTGTTTTTCTTTCTGTTGGAGCTATTTGTTGCTGTTGGACGTTGTAATTGTGGTTTGGATGTAATAATTGTGGTTTGTGAAATGAAAATCCTTTTGTGTATGGACTGAATTCTTCAACTACTTTTTAAAATAATGTCCTGTGCTTGAAAACGACCAAAGCAACATTAGGAACAATCTGATTTCTAGTTGTCATCACAATTTTCATGCTGGTACACAAGTGCCAGCTCCTGGATCAGGAAAAAGGTGGTCAGGTCAGGGGAGAAGGTGACAAGTAGAGGGTGAAACAACAGCTCCAGTCACAGCTTCACTATTTGTTACTAAAAAGGGTAGCAGGGACCAACAAGGCACCAAGATCTTCTGCTCTCTTGGCAGAGGAATGGGCTAAGAGTGTGGAAAACACAGAGAGATCCAAGAAGTTACAAGGCTCAGGGCACAAATAACTTCCCCAGTGATATAATGTGATCTCAGCAGAATGTTCTGGGAACTGAGAAGGTGTTGTCTGTCAAGCAAGCATTCTGAAAGAAGGGTACATCAATGGGGCCAGTGGTGATGTGGAACAATTATTGTGCTGAGAGGGTGAGACCAGAGACGGACTTAACCATTAGGCAAAGGTCAACAATTGCCTTGAGGCCTCGAACTACCAGGGGCCCCATAAGGAACCTAATAAACTAATGGTTACGTTTTTTAAAAAACCTTTTTAAACTAATTAATAACTTCTTTCTAAAAGGCCATACGCTAAAACGGCATCAGAATACCTATAATTCACAAGTAACTAGTGTCCCTGCAAATCCCCTCTACAATGGATTAATCCATGAGCGCATTCACAGAAGTGATTCAGGGTGTAAACAGAGACTGACGAGAAGTGTTCACCCTTGATGAACATGTGTTAGTTATCAATCGATGGTGTCAGATCATGAATTCTGTGTCGCTCTGGTCACTTAATCACTGAGTCTTGCGTGTGTCGCCTCTCATGTTGTACTGAGCGCACACATTATGTGGATGATTCATTTTCACGATGTTTAAATGCAGCCTCTTAAACTCTGGACWCTGAGTCACTTCATGTCCTGACCAGGTCCTGATAACTAGTGATGACAGTTTATTAGTTACAGTGAGAGCAGGTCAGAGTGGAGGAGGAAACAGAAACTCAGCTGATCAATGAGCAGCTGTGACCAGAGAGAAACTGGGGTTTCACTGTTTCTACTGTTCTAATATCTATTCTAATATCTATTCTAATAAGTCTCTGACCTGCTGCTTCATGAACGAGCTCTGATCTCACTGTGTGTGTGTGTGTGTGTGTGTGTGTGTGTGTGTGTGTGGCTCTGAGCAAGTGAGAGGGGGCGGGGCCCTGGAGCCTCTGTTATTTCACATGATGGCCTTTACTATGATGATTAAAAAATGAGACATGAAAATAAAAACAATGAAGGGAGAGGAAGAGAAAGACAGGGACAAAGAGAAATGGTAATCATTTTTAAAAGTAAATTTTGTTATTATTTCTGTAACTCATATAATTGACCTCCTATTGTCTTGTGTGTTATCTTCTTACTTAATTAAAACAAGATATAAGACAGAGGCCCATCAACTTAATCTGAGATCCTGCTGAAAACCAAGGTTATAGATGACAGCTCTTCCATGTGAATGGACAATACGGTTCATTCTTATTGTACAGAGAGCATATTGTTTATGAAAATAAGATTTTACTGTGAGTGCATTTGTTAAACTGTTAATATGTTTTGTTGGTTTGGGAAGAAGTTACACGTAGAACTTTCTTAGATAAATAAGGATTAAAAACAGATGGAGAACAACGTATGTGGAGGGCCCCATGCCTGTGTTCTCCGTGGGCCGCCAAATTGCTAAATCCGCCACTGGGTGAGACAAAGATTTGTGGTGTTCTAATGACAAAAATAATAACAATACCAATGTTTACCACAAGCTGCTTCCAGATATGTACTGAGCTCCTCCATCACTGTAAGTGATGGGGCGATGCAAAGAATGAAAAAAAATGAATAAATGAATATATATTATTAATAAATAAATAAAAGAAAACAAATATCCCATTTCAAACCCTATGAAAAGTGATGGCACACACGTTGAGCTCACAGGTGAATATGTCAAGAGAGGCATAAAGCTGCATGACACCGGTGCCCTGAGACTCACCTGATCCAGCACTTTTCTAAAATGTATCACTAAAGAACGACCCTGAAATTTGAAATCGTGTCTCCTAGTGTTGGAATTGTTTTGCTCTGTGTCTCTCAAAGGTTGTGTGAAACACAGTAATGAAGCATTAGCAGAAAACATCTGGGTTTTAAAGTCATTTTAATTCAATTAAAAGAATATATGATACAAATATTTGCATTTGTGTCTTGTTGAAAATAAAATAATTCAGATTTTCTTTATAAGTTACATTTTTACAAAAATTGAATAACAAGCAACAGTATAAATATCCTTCTGGCGATGAGCACAAGCGAGAGCAGAAATAACTGTTTAGTAAAAACTAGGGAAGAAAAGTCTACAACGATAAACAAACACTGGACCTTATAATTTCCAACCAACATGATGAAAGAACACTGGAGAGTCAGCTGTAAGACCACAATCAACTATCAATAACTATCACAGGTAATGTATATTTAATACTCTAGTATTGCTTGTTTGTGACCCACTATGAGTAGTGGTGACAGCAGTAATACACTTGTTTTGCACACCTAAGAAAAGTTCATGACATTCTGGTCAAATCCAGATTTTGTGAACAGCAGCATCTACAAAAAGGGATTTTCACATATGAGATCAGGTTAAGTATGAATATAAAAAGATTCGATTTTTTTTTATTGTTTTCCAGTGTTGATTCAGATCAGCAGAGCCCCCCCCCCCCCATGCCCTTCAAACAGGACACCCACTCTCAGCCTGTATGAATGGGTAAAGATCATATTTAATGCACTTGGCACAGTGCATGCTGATTCCTAACAGTTACAATGTGCCTGTATCCCAGCAGTGATTTGAAATGTTGCTGTTCTAGGCCACATTGTTGTCCAGCCACCCTCTGATCTCATTCCCGTTCCTCCTGATCCATTCGATGTTGTTCCTCACTCTCTCCAGTGCCTGTTGCCTGGGCATCACCCCCGCACCAGCATCCGGTGTTAGACTGAAGAAATGCTCCATCTACAAGAGCAGCATGTACAAATGTGTCATAAGACATGTGAAAACAAACTACCTCCCTCTACTTGCTTTGACTCAGACTATACAAACAGTTAACCGCATTAGCAGTCATCAGTAAATACCCTCTGCACCGTAATCCCCTTCCCCACATAGATGAGTAAAGTTATTTCCTCCAAATCATGAATGAAAACAAAAAAATTCAAGGGAGGCAATAGCATGACATTTATTCATCAAGTATGCTTTCGTCCAAACTGAGCGACAACCCTAAAGCTTCAGTAGTGTGATGATTAGTTCAAGGTAAAGTAAGTACTACATGCACAAGATCAGGTAATTAAATGCACTGAAAGTACAAAGTCACTAATGGTTAGACATGTCAAGGTTTTAGAAGAGGTGCTCTCAAAAGAAGTTCTCAGAAAGTTCTTGGTAGACAGCGATGCCCCTCCTCTGACAGTATTTCAGAGAAACACAAAGAGGAACAAGACCACACTGCCAGACAATGAAAGAGCAGAATGCAACTCTCTCTCTTTTTCTATAATGATGGTTTGTATTAACAGCCCTTGTACATCTTACTATTGCAGTACTTCCCATAAGACCCTTGACCCTTGAATTCTTGTCAAATTCCACAAAACATACAAACTCCCAAGACACCTTTAAGGTTCAACTTTTGGTCCAACGTTCTACGCCTAAGTTTGTTTTCACATTTCTCCTTGTAGATCTGTGGTTTCACAATAGTTTGAAGCCTCAATTTTTTTATGTGCTTTGTGAAACTGTTCGTCTGAGTGTCAATAAAATTACAAAAGACAACACAACACACAGTGATGTCGTTAAACATACAAATACAATTTTACCCAGATGCACAAGTTTACTGAGTAAAGGTGAGACAGCCAAGGTAAATTTTGCGAGTTAGGAATTGATACTGGATCATTTATATGAAAAAGAAATGTCTAACCCAGCCCTGTAGTCCAAACTGACCACAGCCAGTATCATCCATTACTTTTGAGGCCCACTGAGAGGCTTTATGGTAAAAGATCTATATTTATTGAGGACTTTTCTATTCTTGATAAGCATTAAAAGTGCTTTACAGTACATATTTTTTTTGCCAGTCATCCATTCACACAGTGCATTTATGTGCAGCTCTCTCTATCAAACTGAACATGCTAGTAGTGATTTTCAGTATTTTGGCCAAGGACACTTTGGCACACAGATCGAACTGCTGACATCCTGCTTAGAGGACGACCCGCTCCACCTCCTGAGCCCCAACCACCCCCGGCCACAGTCATCTCAAAATAAATATTTTTAGTGGACTATTTCTTGAGTAGGTAGCGGACGACAAATACTAAGAACATACTGCTCTTCACTCCTGCCCAAAAAGAGGAAAACTCAACCTAACATGTTAAATTGAAAGTGAAAGACCCCCCACCCTGTAAATAACTTAAGTAGGAGTAAGTTGTAGTAAGATCAGTGCATACCTTCCACAACAGCAGCTCTGTGTTGTAGTTGGTGGTGATTCGACTGAGTAGACGACCGAGGTTCCTGTCGTTGATGGTGTACCTGGTCAAAGGAAGACAAGTTTTTCAAGTGCGTTTTTCTTTTTCTTTTTTACGACTCTACTCTACCAAAGTCACAAAGATCATTCAAGTGTTAAAAAAGGTTTTCGATGACCTACATGTAATAAACCAAAGAACATTATGTGTTGCTCTTTTAAAAGTAAAGAAATGAATCTAATTGTTGATGCCATGCTAACACATAGGCCTATCTGGGAAATCAATGAGCCAAAATGAAAGCTGTAAAAAGCTGGTAGAAAGATACTGGTAATCACCATGTTGTTTGCATGGCCTTTATTTGTTAATATCTTGGTAAAATAGCAAACCCTTGACAATACTGGATCAATTTAATA